CCCCAAAACCCCAAAACCCCAAAACCCCAAAACCCCAAAACCCCAACAATCTATTTAGCCACTGAAACCCCAGATCAGTCTAATTGTTAGTAAAATGATTGATGAGATATAACCGTGCTGGTCGCCAATAGCTGATAAATAGAGGCTCCTTCTAACACTTCTAGAGAATTCAGCTGGGCTAAAAACTTCTGTTGATCAGCCTCACTGGCCTTGACGCCCCAACTGTCGTACTGTAGGTTGTACTCGAGGAACCTGAAGGAAGAAGACCCTCCTAAGCAGTTGAAGATCGTACCGTTTGAGGTGAAGAATTTTGGAGTCTGCATTTCAAGACCTCTAGCGTTTAATTCAACCAAGGAATTATCCTCTGGAGTGTAGAGATGCAGTTTGTGCTCCTTATGCTCTGGATTAGGGCTGGCTGGGTTTATACCTCCCAGAATTAGGATCTGACCTTCTCTTGTTCTGTTGATAACAGAGCCTCCTAAGAAGCCAAATTTGTTTTCAATTTCGAGAACTTCCCAAGTGTCGTTTGAGATGGAATATCTTTCCATGTTGTGCTCTACAAAGTTGTACTGGGAATCTGTGAAACCTCCAAAAGCATAGATATAGTCATGGATATGTGTCACACTGAACATTGTTCTCGGAGAGTTCATATTTTCTGCTAAGATCCATTTCTTTTGTCCAATATCGTAGTATTCCATGGAATTATGAATGTTTAGATTGTATTGACCTCCAATTGCAAAGATATGATTGCTGACTCCATCCCATGCATTTATGATTCAATGTCAATATCTCTGCTTTTGCATGTTGATTGATCTCTTAAAATCGAGGGAGCCTTCTGTGAGGATCCGAGACCTGAATGTTCTTGAGGTTCCATAGAAGTAGTTTATTTCAGGAGGCTGACTTGGATCTTCATCTTCTTCAGTAAGTTCTACTTCTGAATAGAAGCCACCTGTGATGAGAAAGTTAAAGCCTTCACTTTCCTCTCCGTAAAGGGGTCATGCTGCTGAGTAGCTATATACTTCAGAGTTGTTCTTAAGGTGGGTGATAATGCCAGATTCATTGATAATGAGCGAAAATGGCTTCATTAAAAAGTATGAGTTTGATTTCTCATATGGAGGAATTGGAATTTCTTCTTCTGGTTGAGAAACTTCTGAATATTCAGCTGATGGAGAAACTGAAAATCCAGAATCTACATCTGGGGGTGGACTCTGATTAGAGCCTGGTGGAGGACCTGGATTGGAACCTGAAGGAGGACCAGGGTTGACTCCTGGAGGAGGACCAGGGTTGACTCCTGGAGGAGGACCAGGGTTGACTCCTGGAGGTGGTCCAGAATTTACTTTTGATGGAGGGTCTCTAGTAAGATTAGGAGGTCCAGGATCAGCTCCTGGTGGTGGACCTGGATTAGCACCTGGGGGTGGGCCTGGATTAACACCTGGGGGTGGGCCTGGATTAGCACCTGGGGGTGGACCTGGATTAGCACCTGGGGGTGGACCTGAATTAGCTCCTGGTGGAGGTCCTGGATTCATTCCTGGTGGAGGTCCAGGATTCTTTCCTGCTGGCATTGCTGAAGAGCTCTTTTTCTCTATAAAAGATTCATACCCAATTCCCAACTCTTCTTTCTTACTTTCAACTTTCCCAACACTCTTCTTCCCTGGCTTTCCAGACAAGATTTCCTTCTTCTCTTCCTTCGAAATCGCATTCCCCGTAAACACCCCTGTCTCTATTTCAAAATCATCACTATCTGACATTTTCAATTATTTCTAATTATTATGGGGTTTTGGGGTTTTGGGGTTTTGGGGTTTTGGGG